AGGGGGGGGGCGCGGAGGGCCCGTCATGGCGCACAAACAGATCTACTACTCCGACAAGTACGACGACGAGGAGTTCGAGTACCGGTACGGGAAGGGCCTCCCCGGGGAGCGGGGGGACCCGGTAACGGGTGGTTGGTAAGGAGGGAGGGAGCTCGGTTACGGTTCTCCGCGGGGACGGGTGAGGGGAGGATGTCCCAGTAACGGTGCACGGTGGGGGGAGAGGCCGTTAAAGGCTCGCTGGTGGAAGGGGGGTGGTGGGCGAGGTGTGGCTGCCCTGTGGAGCAAGAGGGAAGTTATCGCGGTAACGGAGGAGGCCCGCTGAGGGCTCTGTGTCGGGTCACGGAGTCGGTCCCGTTAACGGTTCCCCGAGGGGAGGAACCTGATCCTGGGAATTAGAGGCTGTGGGGGTGACCGGGTCAGGGTCCCTGGGGAGTGCTGGGGTGTGGCGACCCGGGCGCGCTCCAGTGTTCACCGGAGGTCGCGGGGGGGGGGGCCGCAGGCACGTGATGCTGCCCAAGGACATTGCCAAGCTGGTGCCCAAGACCCACCTGCTGTCGGAGTCGGAGTGGCGGAACCTGGGGGTGCAGCAGAGCCAGGGCTGGGTGCACTACATGATCCACGAGCCAGGTGAGCCCCGCGGGGGGGCGGGGAGCGCCCGGAGGGCCCGGCCTGACCGCCCCTCTCCCCCCGCAGAGCCCCACATCCTGCTCTTCCGACGGCCGCTGCCCAAGAAGCCGGAAAAGTGAGCGGTCCCCGCTCTGCCGGAGCTCCCAGCCCGTTCGAGCTGGGAAAGCACCTTCCTCCTCCTCCTCCTCGGCGTTCCTGGGGGGCTTCACCCCCTGGCCCTTGGTGCCGCCTGGGCGCCGCCGTGGCGACTCGTCGCCGGTGCCGGGGTTTTTTCCTGTTGCGAGGCCTCCGAAGCTTCAATAAAGTGATGTTTTTGGGAGCGCCTGTCTGTGGTTGGTGGTTAGGGGGGTCGAGGGGCTCCCGGGACCGCGAAGCCTCTTGGCCTGGGTTCCCGGGGATAGCAGAGTGTTTCCCGGGGGCTGGGGGGACTCCTGGTGTCCCCCGGGGAGAATCCCGGGGCCGTGAGGGTGGGGGCGCTCCCGATGCCCCCGCCCGCAGGGCGAGCCCATGGCCACGAGGGGGGACATCCCCATTTCCCCCCGGCGATGGTTCCGTCCCCGTGGTCCCGCCTCCCGGCCAATGGGCGCCGGTAAGGCCGCGTGACG